GTGGTAGTCGTGGTTGTAGGGGCAGCTGTGGTGGTGGTTGTGGGTTCGGCGGTGGTTGTCGTAGTTGTGGTCGTCGTAGATGTAGTTGTGGTCGTGGTTGTGCTCGTAGTCGTGATCGGCTCTGGGAATGGTGACGGTGCGTTTAAGCAATTCAGGCCGTCGTTTGAGAAGACTCGGGCCGAGTTGTTGACAAATCCCGCCACCACGACTTTTTCGGTGAGATTCGCAGTATCCAGCTCCACTTCGAACACCTCGCCGAAGTCGTTGTACGCGCAGTAAACGCGACCTTCGAACTCCCACTGGGCTCCTGCTACGCCACTGGGGAAAGACCCTTCCATCGACAAGTTGAAGAAGTTGGTAGGCACCTCCAGCGACTGAAACATGACATAGTCTTCGTTGCAGGAGATCGTGAAATTCTGCACTCCCGTCTGGCCGGCCAAATTCAACTCCCTGACGGTAAGGTCGGCTCCGTTGATTTGCGCCGCCTGACCCGGGTTCACCACGGACACTGCAAGAGGACGAAGATCAAAAGAGACGTTGTCGGCCGGAATTGGCCGACGTTGATATGCCACTAAGTTCTCTACACCGTCTTGATAGAAGAGACCGCCTGCGTCTGCGATGAAGACATAACGGCCTTGCTCGTTGAAACCCGCTGAGACCGAAGATCGTTGGGTTCCGATGTAGCAGATGCTGCCATCTGCACCACTGGCACCACCGTCCGTGGGGCACGAAAGCCGGGTGAGGAAGCCTGTGCTGGTGGGCTCCTCTGTCATGCAGTAGATGTAGTTGTCCAAGGGGTTCACACCACAAGCGTTGAAGCACTCGCCCTCAAACTTGCAAATCAACTCGTATTGGCCGGTCGAGAGGTTCAAGGACTGGATGGTTCCTCGGACACAGTTGCCGTCAATCTGCTCGTTGATCGCCTGCAATGCCAGCGTAGAGAAGCTGCTGGTGTTCGAGCAATTCCATTCGGTGGTGTTGCACACTTCCAGTGGTGGTGGAGTTGTGGTGGTGGTGGTTGACGTCGTGGTTGTCACCTCTTCGAAGGGCGTGGCTCCAGGACAGTTCAGGCCATCGTTGGTGATCGGAACCTGGTTTGTGTTGGCAGACAGGGCCGGTCCCACGAAGACCTCGCCCATACGGTCTATGAGATTCGTGACACTCGCAAACTCGTAAAGAATCTCGTAGACGGTGTCGTTGTAGGCACAGTAAACAGACCCGTTGAAGTTCCATGCCGTGGTGACTTCACCTGAAGGGAGTGGATCGATACCAACCATATCCAGCACATACCGCGC